GCTGCAGGGAGGAGGGAAGGAGGAAGCGCACGTGATCTACTCCGATTCAACAGCACCCACTGCAATATGATTCAGGGATCAGCACAGATGTCTCCCTAGCAAATGAACTCTCTTATTGGAGATGAGGGAAGCTGCTTTGCTGGCAGCTAAAAATGCTGTTGCAATGTAATGCACTAGTGATGCACAGAGAACAAGATGACTGGAAATCAACTGAGGTAGCAAGATCAGGGCTGAAGGAAGGAGAGCATGGACACACATAAGTCTTCACTTAGGCCAGACGTAAGTCTTCACTTAGGCCAGACGTGGACAAGATACGGCCCGTGGGCTGAATCTGGCCTGCCAAGCTGTTTGATCCAGCCCACAGCCCACCTTGCCACATCCCCAGGCCAATCGAGATCCAGGGGTGGGGGAATGTGTGTAGTCATTCACCGTTTAAAGCAGCTGGTGGCTCCTTCCCCCTGCCAGGGGTGCTGGCACCTAGAGGGAACCACCAGCCATTTTGAACAGCAAATGATTTTGCACACTCCCCCGGCCCCAGGTCTTGATTGGCCTAGGGATGGGGTAGTGCACAAAGTCTCCTTCTCTGCTGGGGCACATGACACCTAGAGGGAACCACCACGTTCGCCTGAAGGCCTGCTCCTTCTGGGGCAGAGCCAGCCCAGGGCCGCGTATCAAAAATCCTGAAGTCCCGCCCCCATCTCCGGAAAAATTATTGCCCATCCCTGACTTAGGCTATGTCTAAACTGTGCTGTTTTAAGATATGAAACGTAGTGAGCAAGAATGCCAACAGAATCAAACCACCCAATGGGGAGGGGCAGCTTTGTTAGCAGGAAAGCGTCTCCCACCATTCTGAAAAGACAAACACCTGCCTACATAGCTCACGCTCTGCACAGGCACACACGAGCAGGCAAACAGACAACGCTAGAGACAACTATGCAACAATACCTAATAATGGCTGCTACTAATCAGAACAGAGGCACCCAACTGTAATTCAAAGTCACCTTCAATTTAAAAGAGAGAGTTCTGAACAATGGCTATTGTAAAGAGTACTCACACCTACTGCCAAACAAAATGTACCATATTTACTTTACCCAAAGCTGGAAGAGAAGTACTGGAGAAGATAACAGACAGACAGACTGTGGCCAAAAAAGAGGAGTCTAGCAGGAGGAGAGAAACACCTGTCCTCTTAATTTCAGTTCCCACATGTTCTGGACTGAATTTCACATCACAGTCATGAACGCGCACACACAACATCATGTACTGAATTCTAACAAATAGGGCTCCCTTATAGAAATGCACTGACGTCAACCCCGTGACTGGCTTTGCTAACTAAGATGTTGCAATCCTACTTCCCACAACAGTTGAAATCAAAGTTTAAAAACCCCTTCCTTCCTCCCCTCCCCCCAGCATTCAGACAGATTCTGTCCAGAGAGAAACAGGGAGGGTGGCTGATGGATGTTGAGTGTGTGTGGTGGACGACCTATTGTTCCAGACATGAAAGGCCAGACTCTCAGTGGCTTGCTAGCCAGGAATTTGAGTGTGCACTGCCCCATGTGTGTGATTAGATAAGTACCTATCTGGGCACATGAGTTTGGGGGCACATTTTGGGGAATACACAAGCTAAGTGGCATAGCACACATGCAAAGACTGAAACACCTGCCTATATAGCTCATACTGCGCAGACACACAAGAAAGTCACCCCCTAAAATGGGACCGAACATCTCAAAACATACTGCAGAGTGTACTGCCCCGGGGCTGAGTGATGGGGGGTAAGACAACAAGCCATTTCCACTTCAAATGTCTGGTTCTATAAGTAAAGAAAAAACACGGCCTGCTCTTGCTAAGCGTTTTACTCGTACTGCACCATCTACCTGAAACTCCCTGCTCCCGGCCGGTGACTGAGTCACTTCCTCTCCTGGTCTCTGGGTTGTTAGAAATTCACCCACACTTTCTCAGTTCATGAAGGGTGTCACTGAAATGCACTGTTGAGAGACTGAATTACCATTTTACAGCTCCTGCTCCACTTCCTTACTGACACAGGACAGCCATTTTGCTGTGTGTGTCAGCCCATTCAGCAGCACCCCAGCTACTCAGGCGAGACATGTCTAGGAGCCAGACATGACATTTCCCGTCCTCATCAGCAAGGACCAGCTCTGCAGGAGAAGGGGGAAGGTGTGCCTGGAGGAGGCATCAGTCTCATGACTGTAAAGGGGCGGAGTTAGAGACTGCTGCTAAATAGCCATTCTGTAGGCAGCAAGAAAATTGGACTAAGGAAGAATCTTGTGTGCAATAAACTGGCAACAGGAGGTCCATCATACTCCCCTCATTAAGGATGTTAAGTATTGGGTAACTGACTAATGGCATTTTGCATCGACTATTCGATTAGTTGCTAAGGCACCTCCGCCCTAGGGCTGTTGCTACACTTCAAAGGCGAAAGCGCCGCATGGAGCCTGGAGGTTAGGGCTCCACGCAGCAGTGGCGCTCTGAAATGCTGCAAGGAGCCTGGCACCGGGCTCCCTGCAGCATTTCAAAGTGGCAGCGCCCCATGGAGCCTGGGGTCAGCTTTCCCCAGCTGGCCCTAGGCTGCACATGACGTTTCAAAGCAGCAGCGTTGCATGGAGCCTGACCCCTTGAGCTCGAGGTCTGGCCTCTAGGCCACAAGAGGGGGGAAGTGACTAGTCAACTATCCTGTTGACTATCCAATAAGCATTTGCTTATCAGATAATTGACTAGTCCTTCACATCTCTACCCCTCATCTGTTTGTCTCACCTCAGATTACAGTCTGGCTGCAGAACCAAGGCAGGATGGTGATGCACAAGACAGAAAGAGCCAAACTTCTTTTTCATGTCCCAAGAGGAGTTTGAAGCACCCAAAAAAATAGCCTTGTCTTGTAAACTAAGACAATTACTGCTCTATGCTACTGAAAAATAAATGCAGAGCTCCACAGTGACATTTTAATCATTGTTATGGTCACATTATCCTTGAAATAACCTACAATGAGCTTATGACTCACCTTCTTCTCCCCCCAAATACACTGCTTGAGAATTTAAATGATAAAAAAGGCAGCAGCAAAGGTTGTCAGGCTTAAATCTCCTTCCTTCAGTTGTTCTGGCCACATTGGTCAGAGACTCCTAAACTCATTCAAGACAGACACAGCCTAGCACCCTGGAAATACTCAGATACATTGGTCAGCCAGCCAAATACTGTCCAGAGGGTCCGCAACTGCCTAGCTTTGAAAATGAGTCAAGCTAGCACCTTTCCAGAGCAGTAACATGATTTGTTCTCAAGTGTCCAGGGGATGCCCTCTCTCTCGCAGCTTCCTGTGACCTCTGTCACAGTCATTCCATGATGTATTTACTCATCGATATGCCAAGAATGCAGAAACAACAGTTCATGACTCGACACAGCAATCAGTTACACTTTAACAAGATAAACTAACTTTTCAAAACTCTCTAGAGCTCTGCCACTGAAGAAACTGCCATTCAGCACCATGAAACCCATCGTTGGCTATCCCCAAACAAATCAAACAATCGATTAACCAACTAAAAAACTCCCATCCATTAAGCTAGCGACATGGCTCAGAAAACCCTTGGATACTCAAAAACCAGCCTTAAAACTTTTAAACCAAACCAACTCAGTCAACAGCTCAGGACACTGACCATGTGACACAGACTACACCTTGTTATATCAAATTCTGATCCTTGTACTTGGGAACAATGGACGCAAAAGGCTCTAATCACTTTGCACAGAGGTGGAGTTGTATCCTCGTGCTTACTGTATCCCCTGAGCCTTGGGATGTATAAGACTAGTCCTACAGTTCAGTTACATGCAAGGGATTAGAGAAAATGGAAAACACCTCCTAGTATCTGTTACAGTGCAAGCAGGGGCTCTGTGCAATCTGATCTTTAAGAACTCAGATGACGGGGTGTAGTAGATGTCACTGCTAAGGAAGTTTTCTTGGTACTCCCTTTACCCATTTTGCCACTCTTCTCTGTCCCTCCACAATCTGTACTGATTTCTGCTGCTGAAGTGACTAGGACTTCAGTAGCGCTGAATGATCTGGGATGGTGGCCTGTCTTATGCATGGGCAGCCAAAAGCCACACTGGCTTTGCTTTGCACCATATATTACAACCTCATAGCTGACCTGTAATCCCCCCTCCCCCCCCCCGTTAGTTTTACTACGTGCCCAACCTTACCATGCATCTTTCAGATTGTTTTCTCCCAATGCACTAACAGACATTTTTACAGACTGAATCATTTCATTTTTTGCTCAGATTATTCTTGTCAGATCTCCCAGTTTTGTATTATTTGCAAGTAAAGTAGCAAGCTAATCTATTCTTCTAGACCTTTAATAAATATGTTACACAAAACCGGGGTAAAAACTGACTAGTTGAAGGAATCACATCTCCACCCTCAACTCTATAGCCATTTATTTACGTTTCTCCAATCAGTTTTACGTTCTTTTGACAGTACAAAACCTTTTTATCTGTCAGACAGGATGGCCCCGTAGCAAGTGTGGAAGTCAAATTACAGCAGTGTGCGCGCAGACATGTGAGCATATACAGATTATAGAGACACACACCAATGTATCATGTAACAGGTTGTTAGGACAAATTATATTTGTCCGAGCATTTAACAAGTACTGACAGACTCGGTCCTTCATCCTCAGCAGTCTAAGCCTCAGTTGATGAGCTGATTTAACTAGCAGCTGAATAGGACTGATCACTAACCAGCCACAGGAAGAAGTGTTTCTTTTATAAACCTTTTGTTTGATTACATTAAATGTATCACTAAGGTAAGAACTGATCTTTCTCCATTCCACCCTGGCTATCAGACTACAGGGAACACAAAATTCAACTACCTTCTTGTGGAGGTTTAAATAATACAGGAAAAGCCACACAGTCACTTAAGGACAGTTTTTGCTAGGGTAAAAATGCACTCGCCACTTCCCCAGCCCCAGAGACCACATTTAGGTGGTGTGGTACTCAGACTCCCTTACCTGTATCCGAGTCTTTTTGATCTCCATTTGTTCCCACAGTGAAAGGCAACTTCCGTTTTGTAGCTCTCTCTTTCACCTCCTTGCCACCATCACTCCGGTCCAACTTTGGAGTCTTGGTTAGGGAAACTTTATCTTTATCCTAGACAGGAAAGAGAAAAGATGTCACAGAATCTCTCCCAAGACATCTGCCACGATGTCTTTAAGGGTCCGAGTCCGGGCTTTTACACTATTTTGGCTGAGCTATTACAATTAGCCAGAGAAAACGACCTTGTCACAGAGGGGTTTTCCTTTTCCTACAGCAGACCCAAATTGGCCTTGCTTTTCGTGTTTTCCTGAAGAATGTGTCGCTGATAAAGTGGCTAGAATGGTATGAATGAAACTGTTAGTGCCTTCCTTCTGCTGGTTGCTTCACAAGGGCACATGTCTAGATCCTTTTGTAGAGAGGAAGGAAATAAATACTTTTTTGGTGGCAGAAGTAGCCTCCCACTTCTCTGTCCCAGAGCTACCTGAATAACAGGCAACCCTTTCTTCCGGCTGAAGGTTCGATCCACAAACTACTCTGTGCAATAGTAGGCACTAGACAGAAGTCTCTTTCCTTGGACCGAGCTAGCTGCTTCTGAAGAACAAGCAGTTCAGAGTGAGGCACTAACCCTGGGAGAGACACAGATTCACTCCTGCTGTAGCCAGACAGGAACCCCCTTGTAACATCCATTTTTGCTTGCCTGGAGCATACAGGGCACACAGAGCAGAAGACCCAGGCTGCTGTGACCTTGAATGGCTGTAAACAGAGATACGCCAATTGCTGACCAAGAGGCTGCCAAGGAGTGCCCTTGACTGAAACCCATATTGATATGAACACACATCCATCCGCGGGGGGAGGAATCTCTCGCCCAGTAAAAAAATGTCTAGTGCTCACAATTTAGTTATCTCTCTTACAAGCAAGTTTCAAGTTAATTTACACTTGCAAGAACTGGCGCCACAAAACGGACCAGTACAATTCGGCATCTTAGATAAGAAAGAGAATACGGGCCCCCAGGGGTATAAAGAGGGGTCCAGCAGCGCATTTTCTCTGAGTGTCAATCTACCATCTATCTGCTGGTCGGGTTAGGTATTTGATCTCCCGAGGTTCCAAGGGGACGCCCACCTCGTATTAGTCTTTCCTAGGAATTGAGGGACCGGCCCTGGCCTGACATGCTGGAGTCGAGAGGCACAGAAAGGGGTAAAAATTGTACCTGGATGTGGTCCTTTGTTTAAGTATATATATACATAGACTTAGAGCTCTTTAAAGATTAAGCTGTCACTTGGTACCATTATTTCTATTTTCTATCTTTATTTTCTTTGTAACCATTTTAAAAATCTGTATTTGTTAGCATTTAAGAAATAGAGCAATAGCCATTGTAACCATATGCTTTTATAAGTCTTTTAATAAACCTGTAACTTTTTAAGCTTTAACCTGACTCCTTCAGTTGCTGTAACAGAACCAAGCACAATTTAAAAGAACTTCAGCCGGTCATAAAGGGACAGACATAGGGAGAGCTTGGGCGTTTGGATCTGTGTCACTCCCAGGTGACAAGATCCGTTGGGGCACCTTTCCAGCCTTTCCCAGGCTGCCCGCTGCGAAGGAACTTTGTGTTCTAGCAGTTAAAATCGAAGGTGTAATAAGCTCTTCCTATATAACGGGGCGTCTGTTGGCCTGCTGGCCATCCTCTGCGATGGGACCCCGGTCCTAGCAGTAAAGACACGGACGTTAAACCTTTTCTCGGAAGCATACACACACACACTGCCCTGACCGTCGGATGACACCTGCCTCATCTTCCATCAAGGCAGCAAGTTGTACTGCCACCAGACCATCAGCCCAGCAATAACCTAGTCACATTTCTTAATTAAGCTAGAAGAATCAGCCACCACTGTTAAAACACGGATGTAAACACATTAACAAAAGATCAATGTCACTATATTTGTGCAGACAATGTAACAATGAGCTCTTACTCTCACATATAGGTCTGGAAGGATTTGCTTTGTATCAGTAAATGTGGCTGAATGATTTCACTGTACACACAAACCAAAGGAAAAAATATTTTCACTGATGATCATAAAGGTTTACTGATAGGCCAAGAAAGAAAAATGCTGCTTGAGAAATGGTTAGTGTTTGATATAAGGGTATTTACTTTGTATTTTTTGACATGTCATGTGGACAATTTGTATTTCAATTCTTATATAGTTTTAGATTTTTGAATCTCAATGTCTAATGTCATTAAATAATTATGTGCTCCCGGTAAGCTGTGTGCTTGGGCAGCCATCCGGGAACAATTCAAATGTCCCCCAGCTGATTAGCAGAGCGCTCAGAGTTGGCAGCATGTGTTTCTAGTGGTGGTGCACATCTGTGCATGCCTTGGTGCACATAAGAAAATTATTTTACACAGGAACAGAAAAAATTATAAGGAACATTTCCCCTCCAATTTCCTGCAACTATAAAAAAATTAAATTAAAACTCCCATAGTTTTGCATAATAGAACATTTACATTGATAATACACTTTAAAATGTTTTAATATAAACATTGGTGTCCATCAAAATAAAATAATAATAATAATAATAATAATAATTAAAAAAAAAATTCTGCCAAGCCTATAGCTAAGTGAAAGGACCCAGAAAGGCAGAGATCAATCACTTTGCCAACAAGGCCTGGTATTCTACCTGGCAAAAAAGCCAAGATGCTATTGCAGAAGAACAAGGAAGATCCATGTGGCAAAGGGACACCATGCTGTGGTGAGAAATTAGCAGCCCCATTTACAGTCAAGATGGAGTTGTTATACTAGCACTTCCTGTTGTGAGATCTGGTTCTGACACAGAGAAAGAAACAGGAAGTGCTAGTGGTAAGTCAGTGTTATTATTGTTGTTTTTTGGGTGTGCCTGTGTGTGTTAGTTTTGAGCAGCTATCTTCATTTACTAGATAGGGTTTTCTAACCCTCATCAGAATGACAGGGTGTGAGGACAATGCACCCAGAGCATACCATGGGCAGGGGGAGATCTTCCCATTGAGAACCAAAACAGTTTTAAAGCCATTCCCTCTCCATACTGAGTGAAGGCTTTCCTTTGCCACATGCAATGTTTCCTGAACCAGGCTGACGAATAATCTGGCAGTTGATAAACCTGCTAAAGTTACTGTCTGTTTACGGGATCAGTACTCCAGCCAGACAAAACGGCCTGTTCTGTACATATCAGCATGGCACTGCAAAGCCCCAGCACAGCCCTTGGGGGAGGAGCTCTCCGTCATAACAGAAACAGCCCATGTGTCCCATTGGCGTAGATCTCAGCTCTAACTTTCCCACCTCAACAAATTACCTCAGATTCTCCACTAGAATCAGTGATATCCTACTTAATAATGCACAACAACAAAATATGTTTCTGGCTTGGTGTGTGCATAGGGAACAGAGGAGGGGAGCATCCTCTAGAGAAAGAGGTCAATACACTTCTCAGTCTGAACAGCTTGAAACATCTGCTAGACTTGTATGCAGCTAGTTGGCCAAGTTCAGTACCTGGGAGCCTGTTGACCACCTCTACCCTGTAGCTACCAAGAATTACTACAGAGGACTCAGGTCCCACGGGCAAGCCAGGGAGTTAGAAACGCATGGCGTTTTTTCCCAAGGAGTGTACTCACTAATGAGCACAGAAATACCCCGAAGAAAACAGACTGAGTGTGTGCCGCAGTGTGCATGTGACTATGGGTGTATGGCACAAACTGGATGTGTGAGACAGTGAATCAGAGTGTGTGCGCTGGCTGCTGCTGGGTAAGTTTCTGAGAGAAGTCACGTGCTGTCTCTAAGGGAAATCAGTCCTGCTCTGTTGTCTCCCCTCCCCTCCCCCTGCACTCCTGAGTCACTTACCATCCATGCTTCATACTGGAGTAGCTCTGCTGTAGTTCCTGCTCCCTGCTCTGCAGAGATGGGGTACAGGGGCAGGGGAACACCCTGATTTCAGCCCTACCCTCTCCCATCCCTCCTGTCCCCTCCTCCACTCTGCACAGCTAGCAGGAGAATCCTGGGAGCAGCTTGGCTGCAGGATGGAGCAAGGTGGAAGGGGGGGGAGGGAGGTGAGGAGAACAGCTCTGATAATCAGCTGGGAGAAGGGGTCAGAAAGAAATAACTGGAGGACTGGATTCGGCCCCCCAGCCTGATTTTGCTCATCCCTGATACAGATGGATGGTTGAAGGACAATTTCTAAATCCTGTAGTCCAGCAATATCAACTCAAAATGAACATAGTTTTTGTTATGGGATAGTATTATATACATGAAGGGAATACAACAGCTGGGGATGCGCTATTTTCCAATATTAGCCTGTGTATTCCTGGCTTTTTGTTGAGGTGTTGAGATTTTACAGGGTTAAGGTCTTTTTTTAAACTTCCAGATGGGAGCAAATAGCAGAGAAACAATTAAGTGGAGCAGTCAGAAGAAACAGGTTTGAGGAAAGACTTAAGCATGTCTACATAGCAGTTTGGCATGTCAGTGGGGATAGATTGGAGTGGGCAATAATTTTTAATGGGGGGGCCACGCCAAGATTTTGGATAAGTGGTCATGGGCTGCACGTCTGTGTAGGGGTGTGGGGTCTGGGACAGTGGGTGGGGTGTAGAAGGGAGCTTGGGATAGAGGACTAGGGTGCAGGAAGGAGTGTGGGGTCTCAGAGGGAATTTGGGTGGAGGAGGGGGTTATGATCTGGGACAGGAGTTTACGGTGAAGGGTCCAGGAGAGGTTAGGGGTGCTGGAGAGGATTCTGGCCTGGGGGAAGGGTGTAAGAGGGGGTGCAGAGCTGTGATCGGGGGGAAGAGGTGCAGAGGGTTTGGGTAATGACATGGAGCAGGGGAACGGGGTGCAGGGTCAAGGAGGGCAGGAAAGGATTCTGAGGGGGTTATGATCTGGGACAGGAGTTTACGGTGAAGGGTCCAGGAGAGGTTAGGGGTGCTGGAGAGGATTCTGGCCTGGGGGAAGGGTGTAAGAGGGGGTGCAGAGCTGTGATCGGGGGGAAGAGGTGCAGAGGGTTTGGGTAATGACATGGAGCAGGGGAACGGGGTGCAGGGTCAAGGAGGGCAGGAAAGGATTCTGGCCTGGGAGGGGACAGAGAATGTGGGTGGTGGCCTGGGGCAG